TGTGTGTGTGTGTGTGTGTGTGTAAAAGGCGCTGTTCCTCTACTCACTATAAGTGTCCTAACAGGGCATGACATGGCAATTTCTAGCGACAAGTGATTTGTAATTTGTCTGTCCATACTGAAAGTGAAAATGCGGAGCTGCACTACACAGTTTAACGCAATCAGAAGATGTTGAATTTATGTGCAGTTTTGGGGAACAGGATTTTGGAGCGCTGAGATTTCGCCATGGCTTGCTAAAATGACTGGTTAGGACAAAAACTCAGATTTAAATGGGCGATCGCTGTTAGGTTACAAACTGTTTATGATTAACTCTCTTGAGCATACTTTTTCCCAATAATGGTTTATAAACTTTTTCCATACATATTGTTTACAATAGCCAACGAATGAGTATATCAGGAAGGACTGGAAGGAAGTGGTAGAAATAGAGGAAGATGAGATGTGCCATTGGGCTGCTGATGGACCCTCGTAAGATGATCGATAGGGTCTGGTCTGCTTTTGAGTGACGGAGAAAGCCTGTTTTGATTACACACCTAGAGTGGGAGGAGTCTTGATGGAAAGAGGAAGTGGGTAGCATTGGTGGGGTGGTGAAAGACGTCCCATGGGATCAAACGCACCAGCTCCTTTCAGAATTAGGCTGTCAAAGTGGTAATGATGCTAATAATAATTTAGTATCATCATAATGCTTAAACTAAACCCACAGAAGAAAGAGATATCAAAGGCTTTTTTGGGAACGAGTCATGTGGCATCATGGGGAATGATGTCATATCTTTGCCAGGGCTCATTTTAAAATGTTATCATCACTCTCACTTACAGCAGACATAGTGTCCATTTACGACCCAATTTTCCTGTTATTCCATTAGAACTGCATTAACTAATAGTTCACTTTGTTGTTTCCTCTACCGCAGCTTCTCCTTCAAGTGGTTTATCACTTTGAGTTCAGCATAACATGATGGGATCTGAAGTTTTGAGAGCCAGATTATTGATTTATTCCTGATTTGGGGTTCATCTGAGTGTTTGTTAGAACAAAGCTCTCAGAAAACATGTCAGCTTGAGTTAACTGCTTTACGTCGAGAATGGGATTTATTCTTTATATTTACGTGTTTGTAACAGCCACTATAATCCTGAATGAGCTAAACTGGACTGCGGCTCTAGATGAAGTCTTCAAGAAGAACTGGGAGAATGACCCGTCCCTCCTCTGGCAGGTGTTTGGCAGTGCAACTGGCCTGGCTCGATACTTCCCAGGTAAAGCACTGGAATGAATAGGAACTCCGTGTTATCAAGAAGTTTCATTATTTACAGGAATTTATCATAACATAGAGACTACGGAAAGCACACGGACACTATATATGCAGCCATTGCAGGACATTGTTCCTGTCCCAAATGCGTTTCATCTGATGGTGGGACGTGAAGGTGGCATTTGGAACAAGGGCTGTAGACTAATGAGATAAGGGTGAACACAATGAACAGGGCAGGAAATAAAAACTGAAAAGCAAAAACAAATGCACAGAACATAGACAACCTCATGTTAGTAAAAGGGAAGTCATGAGTGCTATATGACTATTAAATGACATCAGATTTCCAATTATATCATTTATTGAAATTATAAATGTAATGCAAGTCATGATATTTTTAGATGATTCACCTCTTAGCTGTTGTTTCATTTTTTTTCTTTAGAATCAAAATAATTTTACACTTATTTTAATTACATTGTATTAAATTGATATTTAATACTTAATTTTTAAATTAAATATTAAGTAAAATTAAATATTTAGTATTAAATACTGTGATTATTTAATTGTTTGCTTGTTTGTTCTTATTTTGTTCATATATAACAGACCTATAAAACCTATGTCTACTTGCATTAAAGAGCCACTTGATACTTGAAAATGTTTGATCTACTTTATTAGAAGTGATAGTAGAAGGTTGAACAGTAATGAACAGTGACTTTAATCACCTCTTAGCTGGTTTTTTTTATTTTTCTAACAGTATCAAAATAATATTCAGTTGATTTAAAATTATTATTATTTTAATTAATATTAAATACTAAACCTAGATTTTAAATAAAATGTTATATTTTGTATTGAATTATTTATTTATGTATTTTTCATTCATTCTTATTTTGTTCATATAACATAGGCGCATAAAACCTATTTCTACTCACAATGACTGGTACTTGAAAATGTTTTATCTTCTTCATTAGAAGTGATTGTAGAAGGTTGGGAAGATAATAATCGTAATAAACCCAATATCCCATTATCCCATGTGCTCTAGCTTCCCCTTGGGTTGACACAAGGAGCACACCAAATAAGATTGACCTGTATGATGTACGCCGAAGGCCCTGGTGAGCAAACCTGTGCTGCTGGAGTTTATATGTGTCTGCTTGTGAGAGAGATAGCAAGTGTTGTTTTTTCTTCATTTTCTCTCAGTTGTTATGCCTGATGTTTTTTCTTGCGTGTGTGTGTCTGTGTGTTTGCAGGTATATCCAAGGTGCAGCGTCACCTAAAGACATGTTGATCCTGGTGGATGCGTGAGTGAAGTCTCTATGATTCACTGTTATAGTTCATACACTCACTGACACAAACCCACCGAGCTGTTCAAGTTACCGGAGTCTTTCTTGCAACTGATCCTGTTTCGATTTTGCACTTTGCACTGCATTTTGCAATTGTTTGATCAGCAGAATGTCATTTTTCATTGCATGTGACACATTCCACACTGTCTACTTAAAGAGCTCATGTTAGTTCTGCATTAGTTCTGAGACATTTATCAACATCAGAGAGACAGAGACGCTGATTAAAGACTGACACAGCGTGGCAATGAGAGGTGAGAGTAATAAACATTACATTGGAAATCTTTGACAGGCAGTTAAATAAGCTTGTTTTAAGCAATTTATGAATATTAAACAGTGCAAGCAAAAAAAGCACCTTTTTGTTCTGATGATGTGCCTTAAACTGTTATACCCCACTTATTTGTCATTAAATATTTGAAGAAGCACATTATAGTCATGCTTGGCATTTAATAATGTAGATGTAACTGAAAAGTCAGTTACAGATATGACCCAGAAATATACAAAAGCCATCAAAAACATCATTAATGTGCCATTATGTGGTATATTTGATCATATTTAAGGGGCGTCTCTTGGTTACAAGTGTAATTAGCCTTGTTGTATTAGAAAATTTGGCCTTGAAGAGTTGATTCTATTATTGCTCAGCCGTAATGATGATGGTGTTGTGCTGTCTGGGCATTGAGCCCATTAGTGTAGATCAGCTTTAGCCAATCAAGGTAGTTTAGCTTCATGACTAAACACTAAAGCCCACACACCTCCCGCTGGAATCACAGAGGGATTATTAACCCATAAAAATCTGATCCAGCATGTCAGTTCTGGAGCCATTAAAAGCCTAAATGGGGGTTAGTCTTTTCTATATGTGCTGTTTTGAATTTTGTTATCTGCCAGCATTCAAACTTAGTGAGTGATTTAAGTTCTGTTTCCCCTCAGCTTTTTTCCACCTATAGTTTTTTTGAGCTATCAGCTCTTTGGGCTATTCATAGCTAAAGGTGTCTCTCTTTTGGATTGATTTATTGATTGATTTTGATTGATTGATTGATTGAGAATTATTCTACTTTTCCCCCCAGCTCTGTTGATGTCTCGCTAAGGTGTCTCTCTTGTGGATCTGTCTATCTATCTATCTATCTATCTATCTAGTTTTTTTTTTCAGCTCTGTTTTTTCCCTTCAGTTCTTTGGGCGGTCCATAAGTTGTCACTCTCTTTTTAATCATTTTATTTCATTAAGCTGTTTTCAGTTAGATGTTTGTCTTTTGGATGTTTTTTATTTTTTATTTTTTTTATTAAGGTAAAGTTTTTCCTGCAAAATAAAAATGTCTAAAAATAATAAATAAGTAACTAATAAAAACCCTGTGAATGGTAGTGATTATATAGTAACAAACATATTCAAACTATGTTCTAACTATGCTATTCTCCGTAGGAGTGGAAGTGTGTCAGGTCTGACACTGAAGCTCATTCGCACTTCCGTCAGTGAGATGCTGGAGACTCTCTCCGATGATGATTACGTCAACATTGTCTCTGTGAGTAGCCTATACAGGAGATATGTGTGTTGCTGAGAGTGTTTAAATGATAAACTCCTCCGACGCTCCTCAAAAAAATCTGGATTCCTGCTGAGTAGGAATAGAAAATTGGAGGGAAACAGAGGCAGGGAGCCTCCAAGCATTCATAACGTCATAGCTCATTTTTTTGCGTTTTCAGTTAGGCACCGCTGAGGCGGCAGGCCAAAGAATTATTGATGTTTCCCATCATCCTCTGCTTCAGATGCTATGCAATTCATTTATGAAATGCATCATTTATTTCATTTTGTTCGTGAGACTACTGACAGGAATAAAAATAACAAACTCTATATTCTGCTTTTAAGTGAGTTGTTTTGTATATTTTCAATTAACTTTCTTCCTCCATATCTTTAATAGCTTTGCGGTTGTATTTTATGGCCTGACTCCAGCTGTGTGACGTTAGCTTGGCATTAATGAAATTAGCCAGCAGTGCTCTAAGTGTATTGCTGGCACTGAGCCATGGGACTTACATAGAGGACCCGAACAAAGCCTTGAATCTAAATGATGCAAAGTGATTTCATAACAGTGCTTGCATGTATGCAAGCTGCACCTCACAGTTTTACATAGATTTTTACAGATAACTTACCAACTAACTACAATGCTTTTATATGATTTCAGTTCAACAATTCGGCCAAGTCGGTTGCCTGTTTTGAAAACCTGGTCCAAGCAAATGTCCGCAATAAAAAGATTCTGAAGGAGGCGGTACAGAAGATCACAGCGAATGGCACCACTGACTATAAAATTGGCTTCAAGGAGGCTTTTAACCAGCTCTCCTCAGTAAGTATATATAATGTAGCAAATTATGGGACCATAATATGACTTTTTACCCCTCAAAAATATAATATTTACCGTCCTACACAACATAGATATATACACAACATATAATTTTTTGGTCTTAATATACATTACAAGTAAATTGCAAGTATAAAATATATTGCGTATTGTGTGTGTGTGATATATATATATATTGCGATAATACACAATCTCTGCCAGATAGCCAGTCTAATCTTTGTTTAAATGCAAGTTTATTGCGCCATCTTGTGGACTGTGCTACTCATAGGCTGCTCAGCAAAACTTCACAGTATTTAAGATTTAGTATCAGCAGCAGTGAATTTTAAAGCTAGTGGCATCACAGTGATTTATTGTATTTCTTCCTTTCATAGATGAATGTTACAAGAGCAAACTGTAACAAGATTATCATGCTATTCACTGACGGAGGAGAGGACAGAGCTTCAGAGATCTTTGAAGAGTACAACCCTGACAAGAATGTGAGGAACCACATACACGCACACACTCTCTCTCCCTCTCTCTCTGGTAGTCCATCGTGTCCGATGATGACTTCTCCTATAGTTTGTGGGTTCTTTGATGACTATATAATCCGATGCGAGAAGCACACTCTCTTTAACAGACAGGGCATGTAAAAATTCTCCTGGTCTTGGCGGGGAGGGGAAGGAACAAGCATGACCTGCTTTCTCTTCAGCCTTTTAGACAGGCGAGACTCAATTCGCTTGTTCTCATAACGTTTGTACTCCATTCTGATAAAGTTGCTGCCAAACTGTGCGATTCATGGCATTAGCTTCCCAGGATGTGGGCTGTGTCCCACACTTCTTAAGGAGTTGGTCTTTCAGCCGATTTGTTTGACCTCCTGCAGAACGGTGGCTGAGATGTAACTGACCATACAGTACCTTACATGGAAGGCGATTTGGTGGCATTCTGATAACATGACCAAGCCATCTCAGTTGGTGAAGCATTACGGTTGGTTCTAGACTACAGCAGTTACTTAGTAAAGAATTTAATGTCTTTAGGTTTTGAGCATAGATAATCCATGTTATGCGCACAGACACATTTTTATAAATCAAGACACGCCATAGACTTGTACAGCTAATAATAAATACTAAACACTATCATTAACAGAAAATTTGTATTGCTTTTTTAACATTGATATTATATATATACACTACCTTTCAAAAGTCTGGGGTCATCTTTAGAAGAAAATAATACTTTTAATTCAGAATGGATGTATTAAATTGATCAAAAGTGAAAAACATTTATAATGTTACAAAAGATTTCTATTCAAATAAATACTTTCTGTTCTATTCAAAATTCTTGAAAAACAATATATCACACTTACCACAAAAATAGTATGCATTATTATATAAGCATTATTATATAAGCAGAACAAGAAATATTGCTTTAGCACCAAATCAGCATATTAGAATGATTTCTGAAGGAGCATGTGACACTGAAGACTGGAGTAATGACTACTATTCACAGGAATAAATTACATGTTTGAAATTGTAATAATATTTCACAATATTACTGTTTTGCTGTGTTTTTGTTTAAAAAATGCAGCCTTGGTGAGCAGTGAGAAATCTCTTAAAAAAATTATTATATATCATTTTTACAGATAAGGATGTCCAAATGGCTTTTTTTGGTCCAGAAAGTATAGCTAATATTAACATACATACACATAATTTTCCAATATAGTCATGTCAATATCCTTTGTTTCTCTCTTTTCTGTCAGGTTCGAATCTTCACCTTTTCTGTGGGCCAGCATAACTATGATAAGACACCAATTCAATGGATGGCTTGCAATAACAAAGGTAAAACACTGAAATTGAATGCTAAGAAATTTGAGAGACTTATGTATGTGATATATGATCATGTATTAAGATGTTAATGTTTCCTTGCAGGTTATTATTATGATTCAATGGATGGCTTGCAATAACAAAGGTAAAACACTGAAATTGAATGCTAAGAAATTTGAGAGACTTATGTATGTGATATATGATCATGTATTAAGATGTTAATGTTTCCTTGCAGGTTATTATTATGAGATCCCCTCTATTGGAGCCATCAGGATCAACACCCAGGTAAATGACACATAAATGTGAATTCTGTCCAGCATATAGGATAGTAACCAGCATCCTTTACATGCAGGAGTACCTGGATGTGTTGGGTAGGCCCATGGTGAAAGAAGACAAGAAAGCAAAAAATGTGCAATGGACCAACGTTTACGTGGACGCTCTAGTACGTCAAATGTTCTATATATAGTAGATTTGTTAAATTAGGCTGATTCTGAAGTATTGAATAGCTGTTGTGTTTGTATTTGTGTTGCAGGAATTGGGTCTTGTGATTACAGGCACTCTGCCAGTGTTCAATAAGACCAGCACCAGGAAGAGTCAAGACAAGAATAAGGTGGAGTCTGGGAACAGTGAATTGATGTCTTGTGAATCAGATGAACTGAAGTGGAACCCGATCTGTTTTAATGTCCTTGTTATCAATTGCAGAACCAGAGCCAGTTAATTTTAGGGGTGATGGCCATAGACGTGTCTCTGGGTGACATCAAGAGACTGACTCCACATTACACTGTAAGGCGTGAGAGCGTGTGGGTGCATTCTGCACTTTTTAATTTACAACCGATAGTTTGCAACATTGAAGAACTTGCATAAGCGTTGCATTGACCTGTAGCAGCTGGGTCATGTTACCAGTGCTACTGCATTCCTTGTGTTTAGTAAATCTTGTTTTTTTGTTTTTTTTTTGTTTTCAATGTCAAATAAATTTAAAGGGGTCATATTATGTTAAACCATTTTCCTGATTCTTTTGAAATAAAAGTTTAATATTAAATATAGACAGACATACTATAACATACATACTCAATGAAAGTATGTATGTAATGATTTTGACCTTTTTTTATAATGTCCTAAATTTACAGGTTTGATTAGTTTGAATTAATTTTATACACGTTTTATATAATGTTTATAAAGTTTTATTGTTTTTATGTTTTTCACAGTCCTAAAACTTTGTATATTTTAAGGATGCACTGATATTTACATCTTGGTTGATACTTATAAGCCACTAATTATCACATTTTAAAAATAACGAAACAAATGTTTTATTATTATTATTTCAATAAAACTAAAATAATAAGTAATAAAATAAAAATAATAAAATACTAAATAATACTAATACTAAAATGCTAACTAATACTAATGCTAAAACCATTTGTTATAAATGCTACAAGTGAATTTAGGCATCAAAACATAATAACGTACAATATTATAATATAATATTATAATATTAATATTCATTTTGAGATTTGCTTAAAATTACATTTAGCAGTGTTAATATCCAGTATCAACTGATACCAAAAAATTGTGTAATTCTCTAAACATAATTCAGTAAAAAAATTCTGATTTCTTTCTTTCTTTTTTCTTTCTTTATTTCTTTCTTTCTTTGGGTCACTCACTCATAAATAAATAAATAAATAAATAAACAATGTTTAAGACATCATCAATATTTAAGTATAGATTGGAAAACAGGAAGAGTTCTTTTTTCTTTCTTTATTTCTTTCTTTCTTTGGGTCACTCACTCATAAATAAATAAATAAATAAACAATGTTTAAGACATCATCAATATTTAAGTATAGATTGGAAAACAGGAAGAGAAAGCACTATATTTTATATTTAATACATATTTTAATAGTTTTACTTAAACTAGGCATCAATATTTCTTAAGAATGGGATTTTTTTTTTCTGTCTGTGGATACTGAGCAGCAAAAATGAATCATCCAAGCTTAAACTTATGATGAACTACTTCTGCCAGCCTGGTGGGAGTGTTTATAAACATTTCACATGCAAAACGGTTAGCCAATAATAAGAAGCATCATTTACATGTAGCAGTTTTAAAGGTACAGTAGCAAAAACACCCTATCAAATGTTACAGAATAATTATCACTTGTCTTTTGTTTTATAAAGCTCGGACCAAATGGATATTACTTCGCCATCGACCCCAACGGCTACGTGCTGCTTCATCCCAACCTTCAACCAAAGGTACGACTCTCACTCGTGCCATTACTGTATGTTTCTTTCTCTTATACTAGAAGTAGCTGCCCATAGCCATGTGTATGATCAGTTATGCATGGCTGAAGAACCTTCAGTACAGGTTATGATGAAATAACACAGGCCACCCACATCTACAGAGGTCATCTGTCCTTTGTAATAAATATCATTTGTGCAGTCCAAACACAATCGTTCTGTTTAGTTCACAGATGAAACGGCAAAGAGAGCATTTATTCAAAACACATGCATGACAATTAGTAAATGTTTAGTCAGTGATCCATGGGATTAGTGAACACTTTGTGTGGAACAAAGTAGATATGCTGAGAAACAGTTCTTCAAGGAAAAAGTGACTCATTGGTAAATATTTCCGCACACAAATATGGTGTCCAGTATTGATTTATGGTATTACTTTGAAAGTTGTTGTTGTTTGCCTGCAGGATCTCAAGCCTCAGGAACCCATGACATTGGACTTCTTGGATGCAGAACTAGAGGATGAAGAGAAAGTGGAGGTGAGAGCAAACTTCTATGATGTTCTTTCTCATCTTGAACACACACACACAAATATAAATAAATAAACTGTAGACATACTATAACATACATATAGTATGAAAGCAAGGAAATCTTTTTGTGTCTGATTTTGACTTTTTGTTTTAGTTCACATGGTTAATGTCCTAGATTTACAGATTTTATTAGTTTTTTGAGTTTCATACACATTTTAAATAATAAAGTTTTATTGTTTTACGTTTTTTACAGTCCTAAAACTTTGTATATTTTAAGCATGCACTGGAATTGAAATTTTGGTTGATACTTATAAGCCAATAATTATTATCACATTTTTTAATTAATTAAATAAATGTTTTTTTTTTTATTGTTTCAGTAAAACTAAAATAATAAAATATAAATACTAACTAATACTAATATAAAATCCGTACTAATGCTAATAGCACCCCCACCCCCCCCCCCCCCCCCCCCA